TGGTAGCCTTCCTTTGCCCATTCAGGCCCAAGGGGATAACATCTCCCCTGTTCCTAGTCTCCCCCTGTTACTAGTCTGCTACTAGTTTGGGGTACCATATCCTCCTTGGAGTTTTCTTCAACCCTGCTCAATTCCTTTATTAAACTCTCTTCAGGCTGGGTGCGGTGGTTCACGCCTATAATCCCAACACTTTGGGAGGACAGGCAGGAGGATCACTTGAGTCTAGGAGTTCAAGACCAGCCTGGGCAACACAGCAAGACTCCATTTCTACAAAAAATTTTAAAAATTAGCCAGGTATGATAGTGCACACCTGTGGTCCCAGCTACTCAGGAGGCTGAGGCTGAAGAATCACTTGAGGCCAAGAGTTGAAGGCTGCAGTGGGCCATAATTGCACCACTGCATTCCAGCCTGGGTGGCAGAGCGAGACTTGATCTCTAAAAATAAATAAATAAGTGAATAAATAGCAAGCCCTCTTCAAAGGACCCAATGTGGGAGCACACCATCTCCCCACTGCTGGACACCTGAGCGATACTAATAGTTTAGGTAGATGCAAACCTCACCCGCTTCTCCTCTCTCCTGCCATTGCTGTTACCGTAGCTACATGAAGTAACAAGATCCAAGCCTTGCTAAGGAGGGGTGAGCAGAATCTACGTCATGTCACTTAGAATAAAACCCAAGTTCCTTACCATGACTTAAAAGGTCTGAGCTGGCTCTCCAAATTCCTCTCCCTCCACGCTCCCTCTCGCCTGTCCCAGCCACAACGGGCCTTTTGCCATGCTTGAAGCCAAGCTTATTCACACAGATAAGCCTTTGTACTTGCAGTTTCTTCCTTCCCTCTGCCTGCCACCGGGTACTGGGCGAGGGATTATTGTAGGTTGTCAAGTTTAATCCTTTCTCCTGCAAACTGCAAACTCCCTGAGGCAGACTCTTTTTTTTTTTTTTTTTTTTTTTTTTTTGGCATCATGGTGTTCCAGGAGCTGCAAACTCAAGTGTCTTTGGAACATGACAGGTAACAGAAACAAGAGAAGGGGCCAAGACTAATAAAAATCATTCTGCCCTCTTGGTCTGGCTTTTGTTTTTCCCCTTTTGACAGAGACGTGGAAGCAGAGAAATATTTCCTTACTATAAACACTCACACACACACACACACACTCATACACGTACTCATACACAGTGCAAAGAGGAGGAGAATGGCAAGTGACAATTATCACTGAAGCTGGAGGGCAAGAGGGACTGGGTGAGTACTGCAGCAAACCACACACCAGCCAATTTGCTGTTTTGCAGAAATCTGACCCAGGGTGACCAGATATTGCTGTTTTCCAAGAGAAGCTGAAAATCTAGATTTTTATATGGTGTCTCCTAATTTTTAAATGTTGGCAATTTTTAAAACTCCGTGCAGGTCACACTAAGCATATCTTTGTGTTGGATTTAATGCAGAGGCTGCTGGTATACGATCACTGCCGTATGTTCAGTGGGCTTAGCATAGTATATGCTCAATAATTATGTGTTGAATAAATGAATAGCCTTCCAGTTGACTTCTCAGCATTTAGAAGTAGCTGACAGGTAGTTCACCTCCCCTCTGTTGGGAACATTTTTTAAAAGTAGATTCAGAACAGGAGGAAGCTTCTCCATTATAGCTGGAAGCTTTAAGGTATAGCTGCTTCTGGACTCAGATGCAACCCACCAGAAATCTCTTGAAGATTAGATTTCTGTATCACTCAGACCGGGGCTGGTGTATGAATCAGGAAGTAATGACATGGCCATGTCTGTTTTTTATAGCCAGCATCCATTCTGATGGTTGGCACCATGGTGTACAGATTGTTAAGTAATCTTAATATCACCCCCAACTGGGTGCAGAAATGGAAACCTATTACTGGTCATAATCTGTTACCACCAAGAAAGTCTCATGGAGGTGGGAAATGACGTGTGTTGTCAAAACAAGATCTAGTTCACTTAGGTGTTGAATTCTATTCCAGGTTTTATAGAGGGTTGATTCTCTCAAATCTCTTATTGGAATCTGGCCACGCTTCTCCTTTCTGTTTTCCCATCTGGGAGACGTACAGGCTCTCACACCTAGTTTCCATGCCTAGCCAAAGCTATTCCAAAGCTCCTAGAGAACATGGAATGACTGGAGGCATCCAGATAAAGGTCATGAGGTGGAACAAGTGCACAGTGACCCAGTGGAAGGCAGTGGTGGAAACAGGTGATGGCTTTGGGAAGAGGTTCTAATTAATTCACTTTCCCCAGTGTATAAAAGCAAGCTTTTCCCCAGGCTTCACAAACAGCAGGCTCATGTCTAGCTCTACCTACTTGCACCGTAAGCAGGAAGTTCATCGTCTGTTCAAATGCTAAATAGATGTTAGCAGCACTTTATTGGATCAGTTCAAGGTGATTTCGATTTGTTCTTGGAACACATTCATCATCTTCTAACACGTGTGTGTGGCTCTGCTTTCTGGACAGATAGAATTACTCATGTGTATGTGTCAACCAACCAAATTAAATCATCCAATGTGATAAAGCCATTTGGAGGGCTATTCCCTTTAATTTATTCTAGGGAAATAATATTCTAGGCAAACTTATTCCCTAGAATTTGTGACTCAGGTTAAACTCCATATTTCCCGGAGCAAAACTTCCCAACTTTTATTTGGGGTAGCCTAGGGCAGTGGTTTACAAAGTTATTTTAGTCCTAGGATCTTTTATAATATCTTCCAAATACAGAGGCCAATATATAAAGCTGGGAAAGGTCAAGCGGATCAGAGGGAGGAACTGGGAAACCTGGGCATTTTCTCCGCCCCTCTCTCTTGTTGCCCACGTGCGGGGACTACCAGGAACCTCTCGAAACACACTTGAAGCAGCTGCACTTGCGAATCTCCAAGTAGCTCAAGCTGTGTTGGAAACTCACAACTCAAACTTTCAAAAACAAAGGGTTAATTTTACCATGTCAAATTGCCTTCTTATAATTTATAATCTCATAATATTTCAAACATTCCTAAAGAAAAGTAGAACAAATTTTTATGTACCCATCACTCAACTTTATCAAATCTTAACATTTTGCTTTGGTTATTTTTAAAGGAGTAAAATATTACAAATATTGTTAAAGCCCCTTCATGTGCTCCTCCCAAATCTCATTCTCCTTTCCTCCTTCCTTCCTCCTCAGAAATAACCACCACACTGAATTTGTATTGATCATCCCCATGAAAGATTTTTCCTATAAATATATATTAATATATACATTTTTCCCTAGTGGATTATACAGCCAGATGCAGTGACTCATGCCCATAATCCCAACACTTTTGGAGGCAGAGGCAGAAGGATGGCTTGAGCCTAGGAGCTTAAGGCCAGTCTGAGCAACACAGCAAAATCCCATCTCTACATAAGATCAAAAAATTAGCCAGCCATGGTAGCACATGCCTATAGTTCCAGCTACTCAGGAGGCTGAGGTGAGCCAAGAAGGTTGAGGCTGCAATGAGCCAAGATCATGTCACTGCACTCCAGCCTAGGCAACAGAGCAAGACCCGATCACACACACACACAAAATATGATGTTACAAACATCAATCTGCAATTTGCTCTTCTAGCTCAACATTGTGTTTTAGAGATTTATCCATCTCGATGCATTTAACTCTGGCTCATACACTTTAACTACTACATCATATTGTGTTGTATGAATTTTTTTTTTTTAAGACGGAATTTCGCTCTTGTTGCCCAGGCTGGAGTGCAATGACATGATCGCGGGTCACCACAACCTGTGCCTCTGGGTTCAAGCAATTGTCCTGCCTCAGCCTCCTGAGTAGCTGGGATTACAGGCATGCACCACCATGCCCGGCTAATTTTGTATTTTTAGTAGAAATGGGGTTTCTCCATGTTGGTCAGGCTGGTCTTGAACTCCTGACCTCAGATGATCCGCCCACCTCAGCCTCCCAAAGTGCTGGGATTACAGGCGTGAGCCACCACGCCCAGCCTGTTGTATGAATTTGCGTGTGCATTTTCCTTTTCACGAATGCTGCCTCAAATTTTTCACAAAATGTTGCAACGAACATTCTTGTGCATGTATCTACTCTGAAAACTTCTCTAGGACCCACTGCAACACACACACACAAACACAAAGTAAAACAAAAGTTTCACAAAACAATTGTCTTACTACACTTTCAGAAACTTTCTCATAATGCATATCATAGTTTTTTTTTTTAATCAGGTTGTCATTTCCCTTCCATTCCTAGTTTGCTGAGAGTTGTTAATCATGAATGGATGTTGAATTTTGTCAAATTCTTCTTTCACAAATAGAACTTTTTATTTCCCACTTATTGTAAGTCCAAACTTTAAACAGATTCTTGGACTGGACTGGTGGTTCATATCCATCAGCTTGCTCATCTTTTAGCACCTATCTCGTCCCCAGTGGCTTTTCTAGAACTACTTCCTTCACCATGAAGCTCCATGAGTTTTCCCAATTCATATTTGGGCTTCTTCAGCATTTTTACTTTACTTTTTTTTTTTTTTTTTTAAGACAGAGTCTTGCTCTGTCACCAGGTTGCAGTGCAGTGGCACAATCTTGGCTCACTGCAACCTCTGCCTCCCGAGTTCAAGCAAGTCTCCTGCCTCAGCCTCCCGAGTAGCTGGGACTACAGGCATGTGCCACCATGCCTGGCTAATTTTTGTATTTTTAGTAGAGGCGTTTTCACCATGTTGGCCAGGATGGTCTCGATCTCTTGACCCTCGTGATTCACCCTCCTCGGCCTCCCAAAGTGTTGAGATTACAGGCGTGAGCCACCACGCCCAGCCAGCATTTTTACTTTTCTAATGAAAACATCATGGAGAGGATAGATTGGCAAACCTTTTCTATGTCTTTTCCAATGCTGTCTGGAGTCAATTTATTGACCACTTCTTTCAGGTCATTTGTCTGCACCTCTCAGGTCATGATTTCTATGATCTTCCAGATTTGGTGGACCTGTTGATGCTAAGCATAAGAAATCTTCCATATTTGATTGTTGCATTTTTTAGTAAAACCAACACAGAACAGACAAAGCGAGTAACCATTGGTAGTCTTGACATCAACATGAGCTTCGATCACTGTCTGCCATTTTTTCACCATGGAACATATTTTGTCACGGATAAGATCCATGCCATGGAAGTTAGTCAGGCAGCTTTTGCCCTAAACATCTTCTATAATCAGTTTGAATTTTCTAAATGCAACTTCACCATTCTGCAAATCAGCAAAACTCACTTCAAACACAGGACCCTTGAGGCCATCGGATGCAATTTTGGTTCCTTGGGTCCTGGTGACTAGCGTCTTTCCTATATTTCTTATATTGAACATAGCAGGTGCTTTCACATTGTACAAATCTTCCTTAGAAAATGGATCAACCACTTTCTTCTTGGCTCCCTTTTTGCCACCTTTCATAAGGCGCTTGTTCTTGCCAATCACCATGTGCTGCTCAGAAAGCCAAAAGGGGATCATAGGGGTTTTTAAAAGAAATTCTGTCAATAAGGTAAACTACAATAATTAATTTTCAAATGTTGAACCAACCTTGCATTCCTGAGATAAGCTCCACTTGGCCATAGGATGTTGCAATGAGTGCCAAGCTGCAAATATGAGGGCAGAGTTCTCCACAAGACTGCCCTCACTTCAGATACCAGCAGCAAGTCTAGGGGTACCTAGGGCCATCCTCATTTCATACTAGCTGGTGACAAGTTTGAGCATCCCGAAAGACTTCCTCAGGTTTCAATCAGAAAAATGAGTCACAGAACTCAGGAAAGCAATATATTTACAATTACAGTTTTATTACAGCAAAGCATAGAAATTGGAACCAGCCAAAAGAAGACACACATAGAACAAAGTTTGAGAGGGCTTGAAACATAAAGGACACATTGATCTCTGGGCATCAAAGTGTGGCAATACTCTAAAAGTATGGCCAACCAGGAAAGCTTACCCAATCTTCAGCGTCCAGAATTTTTATTGTGGTTTCATTATGTAGATATGATTGACTGAATCACCAGCTATACCATTGAACTCAATCTGCAATCCCCCTCCCTTCCCTGGAGATGCTACCATTTAGTTCAAAGTCTCAACCCTCTAATCACATGATTGGTCTTTCTGGTGTGGCCAGCGCCCATCCTGAGTTATCTCATTAGCACAAACTATCAAGTAGGGCCTGAGGGGTCTACCACAAATTCACAAATAATAAAGACACACTTATTATTCAGGAAATTCTAAAGGTTTAGGGGTTAAGAACTGCGGATAAAGACAAGCTAAATTCTTCATTATATAGACATGTTATGTTTCCTAATGTTGCTTGACTTGATTAGTTATTATTTTGTTAATGATGCATGTGTCAATGCTTATGAAGAATATTAACCTGTAGCATGGTAGGTTTTGACAGATATCTTTTATCCAATTTTTAAGTCTTCTTTCTTTTTTTTTCTTTCTTTCTTTTTTTATTGAGATGGAGTTTTGTTCTTGTTGCCAGGCTGGAGTGCGATGGCATGATCTGGGCTCACTGAAGCCTCTGCCTCCCAGGTTCAAGCAGTTCTCCTGCCTCAGCCTCCTGAGTAGCTGAGATTACAGGCACCCACCTCCATGCCCGATTAACTTTTTTGTTGTTGTTGTATTTTTAGTAGAAATGAGGTTTCACCATGTTGGCCAGGCTGGTCTCGAACTCCTGACCTCAGGTGATCCACCCACCTCAGGCTCCCAAAATGCTGGGATTACAGGTGTGAGCTACCATGCCCAGCCTAAAGTTTTCTTATATCCCAGTTTTCTAGGAGTTTTAACATAAATGGATGTTCGACTTCTGTCAAATGCTTTTTCTGCATCTGTTGTGATCATGGTGTCATTCTCCTTTACTTTGCTAATAGAATGAATTCTATTAAAATACTTTATGGTGTTGAACATTCTACATTCTTGAAAAATAATATTTAATGTGAATAAAATTTTTCTTTTTTTTTTTTTTTTTTTTTTGAGACGGAGTCTCGCTTCGTCGCCCAGGCTGGAGTGCAGTGGCGCAATCTCGGCTCACTGCAAGCTCCGCCTCCCGGGTTCACGCCATTCTCCTGCCTCAGCCTCCCGAGTAGCTGGGACTACAGGCGCCCACCACTGTGCCCGGCTAATTTTTTCTATTTTTAGTAGAGACAGGGTTTCACCATGGTCTCGATCTCCTGACCTTGTGATCCCGCCCGCCTCGGCCTCCCAAAGTGCTGGGATTACAGGCGTGAGCCACCGCGCCCGGCTATTTTTCTTTTATTTAAATTTTTTTTGAGACAAGCTCTTACTATGTCGCCCAGGGTGGTCTTGAAATTCTGGTCTCAAATAATCCTCCCACCTCATTCTCCCAAATAGCTGAGATTACAGGTGTGAGCCACCATGCCCGGCTTTAAAAACCATTTTAATATCACAAATAACATACTAATACTTATTTTTTAAAAGTTAAACTTACTCCTTAAAACTTAAAAGTTAAGCTATTTTCAAATATTTGCAAATGCAAACCGTATTCCTGAAAAGATGAATAAGAAATTTGTTATAATGGCTGTCTTAACTAAAGAAAACCAAGTGGTTGAGGGATAGGAGAGTGAAGCGGTCGCAGTAACTTTCTGCATATTGTTCCAGGAGTATTTAAACACCTTTGAAAATAATAAATTAAAACATCACAAAAAATGCTGAAGTTTCCCTTGCCTACTGTTCCCAATTCCTTGTTCCTTCTTGGTCCCCCCTGAAGTTACAACTCTTATGAATTTGGTATACTTCCTCTGAGGGATACTATTTGCATTTACAAACATGTAATTATTTTGCATTTTATACAGGAGAACATATCAGTGTGTTCTTCTAGTGCTTTCCCTGCTTTTATATAAATACATGTGCATACCCACATGTGTACATGTGCGTGTTATGTAGATAAAATTATACCACAATCCTAATTCTGCTTTTTTTTTTTTGCCCTATTATTTGTCTAGGAGATTTATCCACATTGCTATATATACATCTAGCTCCTGCTTTTAATAGTTTCACAGTATTATGTAATATGAAAAAACAACTATTCTTTCATCCATCCCAGAATCCCTCTAGGTTAGATATAGCATAGCGAAATTGTTGGTTTCAGTGTATACACATTTGTTGTTGTTTTAAGGAATACTACCGAATTGCTCTCCAAAGTGACCATACCAGTTTCTTTAATGCACCAAGCAACCAAGCAAGCACATTTCCTTCCTTCCCTCCCTCCCTTCCTTCCTCCCTCCCTTCCTTCCCTCCCTCCCTCCCTCCCTTCCTTTCCTCCCTCCCTCCCTCCCTCTCTCTTTCTCTCTTTCTTTCTTCCTTCAGAGAGTCTTGCTCTGTCACCCAGGCTGGAATGCAGTAGTGCAATCTCAACTCACTGCAACCTCTGCCTCCTGGGTTCAAGCAATTCTCCTGCCTCAGCCTCCAGAGTAGCTGGGACTACAGGCGTGCACCACCACACCTGTAGTTAATTAATACAAAAATTAATACAAAAATTTCTGTACTTTTAGTAGAGACAGGGTTTCACCATGTTGATCAGGATGGTCTAGGACTTCTGACCTCAGGTGATCCACCGGCCTCGGCCTCCCAAAGTGCTGGGATTACAGGCGTGAGCCACCATGGCTGACCGCACGCATGTTTTCCACTGACTTGCTGCTACCTTGATTGAGCAAGGCATGTTTTCTCTCTGGGCTCCCATCTGTAGGAGGAGGGAGTTGGGTGGACCCCGTGAGTGTATGAGACGGTGTAATGATAGTCTCAGAGTGGGTAGGATGACTGCCCTAAAGAAGGCAGCGAGAGCAGGAGGATGCAGGTGCCAGCCAAGCTGAAGGCAGGCAATTCAGATGCCCTTGGTCCTCCTCTTAGCCAGTCCATGAGCACAGTGACAATTTATCTGCAGCTCTCACCCAAAATCTCCCTCTGAAAGGCATGGATACCCTTTTCTGCAGAATTCACCTACTAGGGTCTCCCAGGGGTTGACAGAGGCCCAGGTCATTTCCATTTATTGAGACTCCCAGCTAATTAAAAAGATGAAGAAATAGTAAGCGGGGATGACAAAATTGCGTGTATGGTAATGTTGCCATTGAACAAATAAATACTAACAAATGCAGAGCAGTGGTCTACAGATATCATATAATCGCACTGCTCAAGGACAATTATAGGATTAATAGACAATATTAATTCATAATACGGTACAGATAAGATGGTGCAGGAATGGAACACACATTTACATGTACAATATAAAAATATCTTCTTTTTTTTTTTCCCCAAATCTGCCAGGATAATGCTTTGACTGAATGTATGAGTGCCTTTGGAGAATTCTAAGTTTGAGCAACTTTCTGAATGTGAGATGAGTCAAATACCCCCCACCCCATTTTCTCCACCCCACCCAGGCTCAACCACTCTTAGGCTGACAGTGAAGAGAGACATCCCGTTTAATGTTTCTAAATTTGATGCCTGTGTTGATTATCCACACTTTGAGCAAATCTGTGCATATTATGGTTTCCCAATGTATGTGTTTCGGTTTATTTTAGTAGAATAAAAGAGAAAAAACATTCTTCCTCTTTTGGAGTTGAGAAAAGGGGAGAAATGACAGAGATGAAGTAGAGTCTAAGACATGGAAGAGGTGCATTTTGGGACATGGGAGAGGTGTATTCTGGGACATGGAAGAAGTGGGTTCTTGGACATGACAAACTGGGTTCTGGAACAGGGAGGAGTAGATGCTAGGTTATCATAGTAGAGGCAGATTCTTAGGTCAGGGACCAGGTGGATTTTGGGACAGAGATGAGAGGTGGGTTCTGGGACAGGGAGGAGGTGGGTTCTGGGACATGGTGGAGGTGGGTTCTGGGACAGGGTAGACGTAGGTTCTGCAACATGGAGGAGGTGAGTCCTGGAACAGGGAGGAGGTGGGTCCTGGAACAGCATGGAGGTGGGTCTTGGGACAGGGAGCAGGTGGGTTGTGGGACAGGGAGAAGATGGGTTCCGGGACAGGGACGAGGTGGGTTCCGGGACAGGGACGAGGTGGGTTCCGGGACAGGGTGGAGGTGGGTTCCGGGACAGGGAGGAGGTGGGTTCCGGGACAGGGGGGAGGTGGGTTCCGGGACAGGGGGGAGGTGGGTTGTGGAACAGGGGTGGAGGTGGGTTGTGGAACGGGGGTGGAGGTGGGTTGTGGAACGGGGGTGGAGGTGGGTTGTGGAACGGGGGGGGGACGAGGAGTAGAGTGGAGTTGTGGAAGCGGGGGTGGAGTGGAGTTGTGGAAGCGAAGGAGGAGGTGGAGTTGTGGAGACAGAGGAGGCGGTTGTGGAGGCAGAGAGGGGAGAGTGGGTTGTGGAGGCAGAGGGGAGAGTGGAGTTCGGAGCGAAAGGAGGAGGGTTGTGGAACGGGGGAGGAGGTGGGTTCCGGAACGGGGGAGGAGGTGGGTTCCGGAACGGGGGTGGAGGTGGGTTCCGGAACAGGGGGGAGGTGGGTTGTGGAACAGCGGGGAGGTGGGTTGTGGAACAGGGTGGAGGTGGGTTCTAGCACAGGAAAAAGGTGGATTCTAGAGCACAGGGGGGAGGTGGGTCCTGGGACAGGTTGGAGGTGAGTTCTGAAACAGGGAGGAAGTATGTTCTGTCTCAGAGAGGAGGCCGGTTCTGGGACAGGGAGGAGGTGGATTATGGAACAGGGTCGAGGTGGGTTCTGTCTGAAGGAGGAGGTGGGTCCTGGGACAGGGAGGAGGTGGGTCCTGGGACAGGGAGGAGGTGGGTTCTGACACAGGGTGAAGTCAGGTTCTGGAACAGGGAGGAGGTACGATGTGGGACAGGGAGGAGGTGGGTCCTGGGACAGGGTGGAGGTGGGTCCTTGGATAGGGAGGAGGTGGGTTCTGGAACAGGGAGGAGGTGGGTTCTGTAACAGAAAGGAGGTAAGTTCTGGAACAGGGAGGAGGTGGGTTCTGGGACAGGGTGGAGGTGGGTCCTGGGACAGGATGGAGATGGGTCCTGGTACAGGGAGGAGGTGGGTTCTGGAACAGGAAGTAGGTACGTTCTGGAACAGGGTAAAGGTGGCTTCTGGAACAGGGAGGAGGTGGGTTCTGAGACAGGCTGGAGGTGGGTTCTGGGACAGGGAGGAGGTGGGTTCTGGGTCAGGGACCAGGTGGGTTCTGGAATAAGGATGAGAAATGAATTCTGGGACAGACATGAGGTGGCTTCTGGGCCATGTTAGAGATAAATTCTGGGACACAGGAGAGGTGGGTCTGGGACAGAGACAGATGGATTGTGGGCGGGCCATCCCACTCTATGCTCCCAGAACCCACCCATGCAGTTTCCCTGGCGCCCCTAACACATCCCGTAGCCACTGTTAGCTTGTCTCCCCCAGGTCTTAGCTCAAACGTCACCTCCTCCAAGCAACCTCCTTGGGGCCTCCATTCGCAGCTCATCAGTCCCCCCTAGTCAGACAACCATCCTGCCTGTGCTTCCCTTCCTAAACCCTACCCGGCGGTGAGGGTTCCCTCCCGCTAGACGGTGGCTCACTGAGGGCAGGACCCGCTAGACGATGGCTCACTGAGGGCAGAACGGGCCTGAGCGCTCACTGCGCAAGCCCAGCGCAGCAGGCAGGGACGGGGACCCAGGCTGGCCCATCGTTACTGTACTGAGCGAAAGAGTTTTCCATGAGACTAAGAATCTGGTTTGACTTGCGGTTTCATTCCAAGTGCCCGAGGGCCTCAGAGTCCATGTTGAGTCCATCAATAAAGGAAAGAAGGCGTTAGGGCGAGAGGAAGTGAGGTCGCGGGGAAGTGAAAGAGAATGAAAAGGAGGAAATGGAGACGAGGGCGACTCAGAGAGGAACAGAAAGACAGAGGGAGGGAAAACAGAGAAAGAGCGAAAAACGAAAGAGCGGAGGAAGCGACGCGAGCCTTTCTTAATGAATGACTGCACACTTGTCGCCGCCTGCGCGCACCCTCGGGCTGGGCGGGCGCTGCGTCTCGGGGCGCAGTGCCAGGACCCTCCGGAGCGGCGGCGGGCCGGGCCTCGGGTCGTCTCCCGCAGGGCTAGCGCAGGTGCCGGGTGCAGGGGGGTCCCCGGCCCCGCCCCGCTGGCCCCGCCCCTCCGGCGCCCCCTCCCCCGCCGGCCCAGCGCGCGAGGCATTGTGGGAGTTGTGGTCTTCGCGGCCCCGCGGAGCGCAGCGCGGCGTCTGCACCGGCGGGGGCACCGGCGCGGCTTGGGCTCCGGCTGGTGCTCCGGCTTGGACTCCAGCGGCGTGGGCTGGGCAGCGGCCGGGCGGCGGCTCCGCGGCACCGGGCAGGGGGCGTCCGCAGGTTCGCGCCCTCGGGCGGCGGCGTCTCCTGGGTCCCGACAGCCGCCCGCGCGCCCGGGCGCAGGTAAGCTTCGTCTGCTGGGGCTGCTGGGGCTGCTGGGGCGGGAGGGCGGCGCGGCCGGGCCGACCCCGGGACGGGGGTTGGAGGCGGGAGCCGGGCAGCTGCAGGCCCACGGCCCTCCCTTCCCGGCGCCGCCGCCGCCGCCGCCCCCGCCAAGGATGCTCCGGGACCCGGTCGCCCGCATCCTGGCCCGGCCGAGGCCAGCGCTCGTACGTGCTTAGTGCAGCCGCCTCGGAGCCGAGCATCACCCTCCCTAGACCTCCTGCTTCTCCTCCCTGCCCCATCGTGGTCCCTTGCTCCATTTGCCTCCTCCCCTGTGACCCCTCTTTCCTCACCTCCTGTCCCCCTCTCCCAGACCTCAGAATCACCCACTTCCCATATTTCACGTGGTGACCCTCCTCCCCTGTCCCACGAATTATCAGGCGCCATAAACCTCCTTCTACAATCTTGAGCTGATCGCCCACTTTTCCTGGCAACACTCACCTTTCCATCGTCCCATCCCCCTCCTCTCCTGAACTCCTGGTGGTCACCATCTGTGTTAACCCATCTTCAGCCCTCCCCTCTTTCCCACTCTCCAGGGCAGGTGGGTGCTGAGAAGCTGGCCAAGAGAGGGCAGGTCCCCAGGTCTGCACCAGGAAGGGCTGGCCCCAGGGCATATCTCTGGCTTCTGAGTGGAGAGGGTGACATGCATCACACACCTTGCCCAGGGCTGTGCTGCTCACTGGGGGGCTTCCAGGGTGACTTGGCTTCATCCTGAGGGTGAGCAGACACTCTTTGGCATTGGGCAGCCTCTGGGAATGGACATCTGAAGTAGATTGACCAGGTCAGGTCTGAGACCAGCTCTCCCAGGTGTTCATGGTGTCAGAAGTTGTCTTGGATTGGACTTGCCCTCCAACTGGCCATGGATTTGAACTCAATTCCCCAGAGCCAACTGAGCTGGAAGATCTGGGGTTGCATATTATTAAAGTGCAGAGCTGCGGTGAGATGTCCCCATCCCTGATGAGGACAGAAATAACACAGATGACAGTGAACAAATGCGTGAAGGAAGCTGGAAGCTACTGTGGTCACTGGGCAAGGAGCTGTCAGGGGAGTCTCTCCCCTTCCCACTGGGTAGCTGTGAGGATCAAACGTTTGAAGCAGTGCTTAATAAACTGCCAGTCACTCTACAAATGTAAGTGTTTCTTTTATTGTCACAGTTCAGCTTTGAGCTTGTAAATCCACCTCTGGGTGCAGGGGCCTATAGGCATATTTTGACTAAAAGTGACTGACAGTTATGAAAAGTCCTCACTTGAGCTCTCAGTGCTATTTATGATCTCGGGAGGAGGGTCTGAAGCTGGGGTTCAGAATCTTTTACATTCTTTTGCTTACAGCTCGGCCTTGGGGAGGGCTCATGGCTGGGTCTGTACAGAAGGAGGCTTTCCTGAGAAGAGGGTAAGGGCTGGGGTGTCCAGTGGAGAGGTTTCTTCATCATCCACCGTTTTCTGTGTCTGCATTTTGCTTGACTTAAGTGATTAGCAGGGCTGATGGGAACTCACACTTCACAGTTGCTTGTTAAATTGTCACCATCTCACTCTTAGAACATTTAAGAAAAAAACCTCTCCTCCTGACAAACCCAGTTGAAAAGTTCCAGTTAGGGGTTTAGCTCAGTGGGGGGAAATCCTTTTAGTGAAAGTGCTTGGCGTCACATAGATGATCGTTTCACACTGAATTTCAGGAACTCTGGGGTTCTGTTTGGGAGGTGGCTTGCAAACAAAACATCTTTCATCTGGATTTTCTTTCGTGTTCCTAAAGAGGTAACAGCTGCCAATTTATGGTCTAACAAGGAGAGAAACAGGGGGCTGAAGGGATTTCTTAACCTCTAGTGAGTCATAGCCTTTTCCTCGTCTCCTCAATCTGAGAAGAAATTGAGAACGTGTGGGAAAGAAAAAACAACAACAATTTAGCTTCTAACCTCCCCACTCTTGTATTTTTCCTAGAAACATAAAAAATTTCCATGAATATTCAGCATGTGTGTTTTTGACTTACTAAACATTATAGTCAAGTGATTATTCAACCGAAACTGGGAAGAAGCAAGTAGGCAGTTAATGAGCACCTAAGGCTTCCCTTTCATTTTTAGCTTAGCAAGTCTGGGGACAAAAAATCCACTTGACACATGGGGCAACAAGAGGATTTACCTTTAACTGTTGGAATTCTGAGTCTTGCGATACCTTTCTCCCATGCCCCACCTTTGGAATACCGGCTACTCGTTATGGGATGTCACCCATCCTAGCCGTCGCCTGCATATATTGGGTGCTCATTATGACTTGATCATTGTCTATCCGCCATCATTCATCTTCATCCGGTGAGATGAACATGAACCCCATTTCACGGATAAAGAAACTGAGGCAGCTGGGCATGGTGGCTCACACCTGTAGTCCCAGCACTTTGGGAGGCCAAGGTGGATGGATCACCTGAGGTCGGGATTTCAAGACCAGCCTGACCAACATGGAGAAACCCCATCTCTACTAAAAATACAAAATTAGCTAGGTGTGGTGGCGCAGGCCTGTAATCCCAGCTACTCGGGAGGCTGAGGCAGGAGAATCGCTTGAACCCGGGAGGCAGAGGTTGCGGTGAGCTGAGATCGTGCCACTGCACTCCAGCCTGGGCAATAAAAGTGAAACTCCGTCAAAAAAATAAAAATAAAAGAAAGAAAGAAAGAAAAACTGAGGCTTAGGAGAAGTGATCTGCCCAAGGTTGGGATGAATCCTCAGCTGGGCCCATCTCTCATTTGGCTCCTCTCTGCTACGACGCTGCAAGAATTTTCAGGCCAAATTTAGTCCCCTGGGAAAAGGGAGGGTACAACTTTTCCGTTGTTTAAGCTGCCCTCCCATATTTCTGAGAGAGAAGTGAGAGCGTCAAGTACAAAAGGAATATTCTACGCTGTGCTCCTTGAGTATCAGGCTTGTAGAAGCAGAGACCTGGCTGTTCTCATGGTATCAGAAGAAGCAGGATGAACAAAAGGTGTGGAGAATGCTGGGAAACATGGCTGGGGTTTTAGAGACTTAGGCAGCATGACATTCAGGCCCTCTTAGGTTATTAGGACAATGAGGGTTCCGGGTCCTGGCCCTAACCCCCAGCTAGGTAAGTAGCAAAGCATTTCTGGCTGTTTTGGAGATGCTGTTGGCTGTGGGAAACTGAGGCAGAGACCTGGAAGGGCTTTTATTTTCATTCTACCTCCCTTGTTTTCCTTTCATGACCCTGTGGGTGAGGCCAGTAGGTAGTCTCCAAGTGGGTAGACAGAAAACGCCCTTTGCTGCAGGCATGACCTCAGAGTGCCCACTTCCTCTTCCAACTTGGTATTAGCCCAACCTCTGTCAGAAGGGCAGCAGAATGAAATAAGGATGATGAAATGCTTGCAAAGAGAAAGTGAAATGGAGAATATGCAGTTTTTAAGTCCCTTTGCCATTTTTAAGATGCTTTTGAATCCAGGGTTCTTTGGAATTAAAGGTACAGCAATTACAGGAGTATATGAATTGATTAAATACCTATGATGAAACAGTGCAGCAAAATGGATAGACATGGGCCTTGAAGTCAGATGGTGTTTGAGTCCCCGCCGTGGCTGTGTAACTCTTATGAGTTACGTTACTTCTCTGAGCCTCAGTTTTCTCATCTGTAAAATGGGGATAATAGCACCCTCCTATGGAGAGCACAAAGCAGATGGGACTGCTGTAATTATAAGCAGTGCTTGACACAGATGAAATGCTACCGGCCTTTTGGGAAATGGGAGTGGCAGTAGAATGGGGAGGCAATACACAAGATTGCAAAGTGTGACCCGCACCAACTGGGATCCCACAGAATGATCTAACACTTTACATTTCATTTGAGGACTTTTCCAGGTGTAAAATTTATGCTGATTTTTTTTTTTTCCATCCCAGGTTTGGTTTTCCTAAACAAATCCTTTCACAGGGACCGACGGCACTTGATAATGTGACAAAAACCAGCCTCTTCCACCCTACTGCAGTGACTTTTGCCAGAAGTGGAGCAGTGGGCACGGCCGACCTTGTCGTTCATCAATGCCGCCCCTGGCAGGATCTGAGGATTGGTGGCAGCCATGCCTCCCCCTGCCCCAGTCGCTCCTTCCCCCCCACGCTGATCTGCATGGTGTGGGCGCCCTTGGGACCCCCGAGGACTGATTGTCTGACCTTGCTTCACACCCCCAGTAAGGACTGCCCCAAGATGTCGCTCGAGTGGCTGGTGGCCTGGAGCTGGTCGCTGGATGGCCTGAGGGACTGCATCGCCACCGGCATCCAGTCAGTGCGGGACTGCGACACCACCGCTGTCATCACTGTGGCCTGCCTCCTGGTCCTGTTCGTGTGGTACTGTTATCACGTGGGCAGGGAGCAGCCCCGGCCCTATGTCTCCGTCAACTCCCTCATGCAGGCGGCCGATGCCAACGGGCTGCAGAATGGCTATGTGTACTGCCAGTCCCCCGAGTGCGTGCGCTGCACCCACAACGAGGGCCTCAACCAGAAGCTGTACCACAACCTGCAGGAGTACGCCAAGCGCTACTCCTGGTCCGGCATGGGCCGCATCCACAAGGGCATCCGCGAGCAGGGCCGGTACCTCAACAGCCGGCCCTCCATCCAGAAGCCCGAGGTCTTCTTCCTTCCCGACCTGCCCACCACGCCCTATTTCTCCCGGGATGCACAGAAACATGACGTGGAAGTGCTGGAACGGAACTTCCAGACCATCCTGTGCGAGTTTGAGACCCTCTACAAAGCTTTCTCAAACTGCAGCCTCCCGCAAGGATGGAAAATGAACAGCACCCCCAGCGGGGAGTGGTTCACCTTTTACTTGGTCAATCAGGGGGTTTGTGTTCCCAGGAACTGTAGGAAGTGTCCACGGACGTACCGCTTGCTCGGAAGCCTTCGGACCTGTATTGGGAACAATGTTTTTGGGAACGCGTGCATCTCTGTGCTGAGCCCTGGGACTGTGATAACGGAGCACTATGGACCCACCAACATCCGCATCCGATGCCATTTAGGTATGTTGCAGGGACGGGGGTCTCCCGGCATGCACATTTGCAAGCTCAGCCTCTCTCACTCATGGGAATCAAAACATCGCGAAAGCTCAAATGGTCAGAATTGTGCCTTTTCACATTGTTCATTTTGAGCAAAAACTGATGAATTGCATGTAAACAATTTTGACAGCAGAGATTGAGTCAAAAAGAAATCTTGTGATTGGTGCAAACCTAATTTCTGACAGCAGCTCTGTGCAAAGAACTTTCTGCAGTGACAGAAATGTTCTCCATCTTCATTGTCCAAAATGGTAGCCACTAGACACATATGACTAATTGAGTGCTCGAAACGTGGCTCCTGTTAACTGAGGAACTAAATTTTAGTTTAAATAGCAGTGACACATACGGCTAGTGGCTACCGTATGGGGACAGTGTAGTTCTAGAGCCAAAGACTTGTTAAAATGATTACCGAGGTTCATAATGCTGTCTAGGAGGCTGTGAAAGATACTTCAGCGCCTTTGCAGTCATCAAGGATGAAATGATCCTTAGTGCTAAGCTTCTTTTACTCTGATTCTGAGAAAATTGGTCATATGTGTACTGTGTGTGTGACTGTGGTTTTGCAAACAAAATCTGGAGTTAGACGGCCTTTGCATCTTGGCCCCACCACGAGCTGTGCTATTTTAGGCAAGTCACTTCACCTCTCTGAGCCTCAATTTCATCATTTGGGAAGTGGAGGTAAAAAGATCTTCCCCTAAAGAGTTATTCTGAGGATCAAATCAGATAACGTGTATTGTAAAGTATGTATGCACACAGAGCCTAAAATAGAGCAAGTATTCAATAAAAGTAGGCTTAAAACAACTTGGTCATGGAGATATTAGTTCCACAGAATGCCTTATTCCTGGTGAGTGGCGATAAAAAGCTGGTCTGTGGGATGGTGGCATCACCGGTTAGCATCCCAGACTAGAGTGTGCAGAGACAGCTTCAGCAGCGTCCAGCTTTAGAAAGTTCGCAACGCTGCCTCAGCTTCAGAAGGGAGGAAGGAAGAGCAGCGGAGGAACCTGGTGCATGGGTTGGAGCAGGAGTTTCATAACCATGTTCTGCGGAGGAGCCTCAGGGTTGCCTGGGAAGGAGCCGGAGCTGGGGGCCCCGAGCCCTCTTCACCCTTACCAGCTCTGCTTCTCCTGCTGTCTGTGTGGAGATTCTGAGTAAGATGTGGTTTGGATGGAGGATGTCACTGCGTTAAAAAAAAAAAAAAGAACGAAAGAAAGAAAAGAAAGAAATATAACTAGATTTGAGCAATTGACATGGTAGGAATTTCAAGAGTAAAGGGTGGACTGGGTGGAGGCTCTGGGGGAGTGGGCCTGAACTCCCAGTCAGCGGTCAGCCGTGAGACTTCGAGCAGGTCACTGAGTCTCTCTCTGCCTCAGTTCTTCCTCTGTAAAATGGAGAGATGTTACTTACTTCACAGGATTGTTGAGAGGATTCAATGAGTGGCATCTTACATGGCCCCTTGGCAGGGTGCCTGGCACATGACAGCATATGATGAATGGGAGCTAGTAGCTGTTATCAAGGACTGTGTTGGACCGTGTGAAAAATGATCCATAAGACATGGACCCTACCCCCAGGAAACAGTGGGAAAGGAACAGGCTCTGGAAGCAAACAGATCTGGACTCAGGTCCTGGCCTTACCCCATTTGCTGAGTGACCTTGGGCAGGGCTCTGAACCTCCTTCAGCCTCCGTTTTCTCCTCTCTAAAACAGAGATCATGATTCCCACTTGCGGGCTGTTTTGAGGAGTGGGAAGTAATACGCGTAAAATGCGTGGCAGGTAGAGGGCAGTGGACAGTAAGCTAATCTAAGTGATGGGATGATAATCCAGGTGATGGTCATTAGCAAAACTGCCGTGCGAGGGGTGTCCTGGGGAGGTGGGTCTGATGCTGGAGGATCCCCACACAGGAATCAGGTGCCACCAGGGTGGAGCGAGGGAGTGGAGTCGTCCCCTGGGGCTAGGGGAAGCCGGGTCTAGGCTTGCTGGGGAGGCCAGTAGTGTGGGCTGAGGTTGGACAGGTCAGGTGGGAGCAAACCTCAGAGGCCCTTGATGCCAGGCTTGAGAATGGAGGCCGCGGGCAATGGGGAGTGATGCTCTTCTTTTGAAAGGTTTGCCTTTATGTACTGTTTTAAAACTTCAGAATGACATCAGGGAAGGGCATTTGGGGACTGATGTGGTAGAATTTCAAACAGGTGTGAGTAGGAAGCGATGGTAGCAAGGAATATCTGGGGTCTGCTTCCTGTAGATTAATGCTTGTTGTTTATCTGTACAATATGCATGCGTGTGTGTGTGTGTGTGTGTGTGTAAAACATGATGCCCACACTGGCTCACACTGTGGCCTGTGGCCTGTCATTTCCTTCTCAGCCCAGCTAGGTACTTGCCAGAAAAAGTAGGCCCTCCATGTTCCCGTAGATGGCAGGAAACCTTCTTGGAAGACATCCCACTGTGGTGTGGCTTGTTCTCCATGGCCAAGGCGAGCTCCCTGGTTGGGTTTTCTCAGCGTTTCCTTCTTTACACTGTCTTGCCCACATTAATATCCACCCAGGAAGGAAACAAAGGTGTGTTAGATTTACATGACCATGTGTGTTGACAGAGAGGGAGTCCAGAGAATGAGGTCAGAAGCAGGATAAGCCTGGTGCGTACCTGGTGGCCACACCTCTGCTGGTTACCTGGCTGAAGGTGGAGGCACCTGTGGTTCCAGAACTGTGCTCTTGAAATGCCAGTCCTTTCTCCTCTTCTGCCTTCTGCCTGAGCTGTGACTGATGGAATTGTCCCTGCGAAACACTGAAGCCCCAGCCACTGCTCCTCACTAACACAGCCCATTTGTTCAAGGCATATTTGCTGAGCCTTGCTGTGAGCTACTTCTAGAGGTGGCATCACCCGGTCCTGACTTCATATGGGACCACAGGACAGCTTCAGGCCCACTCCCCACTCAGCATCGTACACAATGCTGGGATATTCCAACTGCACTGCCACAAACTTCCAGAAAACCGCCTCTGAAACTCCTCTGAAACTCACCAGGCAGATGTTACCAGGGAGGCAGACACTTCATGAAAATGCATGAGTATGTTCAGCAAATTCTAGCTAAAGAAGCACAATTAGACTCTTGTGTTTCTTTTCTGCATGTCATCAGATTTCTAGGTGGTCTAGCTGGCTGGTAACAGTAGATCAACTCATGTTCCCCTTGCCCACCCTGAGTGCCCGGTTGCCGGCCGCCTGAAGAGTGGGGGCCGCCGGTGGACAGAGCCCTTTCTCTAACCTTCCTGCCTCCTGCAGGGCTCGCTAGGGGCAGAGCAGCAAACACGGAGCCGTAGAAGAGCATATGGTACTATCTGAGGCCATGTGTGGGGCCTGTCACTGTCCCCAAGAGCCACTGGAATGATCTGTTTAGGGAAGAATTGAGCTCTTCTGCCAACTAAGCTGGTTTGTGGGCAACAGGCAGGAATGGGGGCAGGAGCAGAATGAAGGGGAGGCGGATAACAAGAAGCAGGGGGGTGTCGAGCCAGCAGGCCAGGCCATTTTTCTATTGCACCATGGCGTGTGGCGATGAATCATTTCGTGGCCCAGAGAAAGGGAAGCTTCCTTCTGAAACCCCGGGGTGGCTGTCCCTGCAGAGAACTGCCCATTCCTAAAGGCCTTCGCCACCTGAACCAGTCAGTAGGGGCACACGCAAAAGGAAAACGTAGCCTGTGAGGCCCTCCATCTGGGCGTCTTTACAGCCCTAACTCCTCCAGCTGCTGTGAACCGTAGCGGGAAATCATGGCTTCTGTCAGGATGAGCAGTCTCAGCTGATTTAATGAAAGGTGCATTGAGAGTTGAAACATATTAGGGTCCTCTTAGAGGGACAGAACTAATAGGATATATACACACACACACACAATATATATAATATATACACACATATATACAGATATACACATATATATGTATATGTATATATGCATATATTTTGTGTGTGTGTGTGTGTGTGTATGTATCCTATTAGTTCTGTCCCTCTAAGAGGACCCTAATATGTTTCAACTCTCAATAGTGTATATATGTGTGTATATATGTATATTATATATGTGTATATATATGGGATATATATAAAGATATATATTATGTATATTTTATATATATATATATATGTAAAGGGGAGTTTATTAAGTATTAACTCACACGATCACAAGGTTCCACAATAGGCTGTTTGCAAGCTGAGGAGCAAGGAGAGCCAGTCCGAGTCCCAAAACCGAAGAACTTGGAGTCCGATGTTTGAGGACAGGAAGCTTCGAGCACTGGAGAAAGATACAGGCTGGGAGGCTAGGCCAGTCTCACTTTCTTATGTTTTTCTGCCTGCTTTATATTTGCTGAAAGCTGATTAGATTGTGCCTACCAGATTAAGGGTGGATCTGCCTTCCCCAGCCCACTGACTCAGATGTTAATCTCTTTTGGCAACACCCACATAGAGGCACCCAGGATTAATACTTTGTATCCTTCAATCCGGTCAAGTTGCCACTCAGTATTAACCATCACCCATATTAACTACAAGAAAATCAGTCCAGGCACAGTGGCTAAAGCCTGTAATCCCAGCACTTTGGGAGGCCGAGTCAGGTGGATCTCTTGAGGCCAGAAGTTCGAGACCAGCCTGGCCAGCATGGCGAAACCCCATCTCTACTAAAAATACAAAAATTAGCAGGGCACGGTAGTGCACACTTGTAATCCCAGCTACTCGGGAGGCTGAGGCAGGAGAATCGCTTGAACCTGAGAGGCAGAGGCTGCAGTGAGCTGAGATCGTGCCACTGCACTCCAGCCTGGGTGACAGAGCGAGACTCCATCTCAAAAAGGAGTAATAATAAAGAAAAATCCACAATCACTTTAATTCTTCTGTTAATAGTATAACAACTAGCATTTATATCATCATGTCCAGTTTTATAACAGCCTGTTCTTTGGAGCCAGGCTGACTCAGCAACACTAAATGGTAACTTTTTAGCAGGTCATTTAACTTCTCAGTTACCCCATCTGGAAAGTGGGTGAAGCGATGCCTGTAAAGTGTGTATTTAGCACAAAGCTGAGTAGGAAGACACAGTAGGTCTTCAGTTATTGGTAACAAGGATAAAATCCCATAGCAGCCCTGGAAGGTTCAGTATGCTAATGTCCCCTCTTTACAGATGAAGAGGGTATGGCTCAGAGAGGCTGAGTGACTTGCCCAAAGTCACACAGCACATAAGGGTCGCAACCATTCATCTGTCCCCAAGTCCTCTGTCCTTCTCTCTCTGCCATGTGGCCTCTTTATTTGAATTATTACTCTGAACGTACTTCCTGGAACCATTATTTCTGGTTCAAAGAATACATTAAAATACTTTGGCTGCTGGAAGGAAAGCTATTTCATTTTTGTGCTAAAGGACATTCAGTCAGGGGAATGCCAACTTGCCCAGGGTCCTTGTGGTCACAGTGAGTCACTGAAGACAGACGAGACCACCACCCATCCCAGCTCCTCTTCCAGGACTCTGCTTCCCCCTGGGTGGGCCTTCCTCAGAGCTGTCGGGCTGACCGGACCCATTCTGAAATCACCAGACAGCCACGATGGCCCCTTCTTTTCTGGACATCAAGGTAGTGATGGGGGCCAAGTGTTTCTGTAGACCCTTGCGTTGGAAAGCGTGACTGAGGGTCACACATGGCAGTGTTCCAACCAGACCCCACTGGCCTTGGAAGCATACAGCTTTTTAAAAATTTTTTTTTATTTTTGAGACAGAGTCTCACTCTGTTGCCCAGGCTGGAGTGCAGTGGTGCGATTCGCCCAGGCTGAGGGCAGTGGCACAATCTCAGCTCACTGCAACCTTTGCCTCCTGGGTTCAAGCAATTCTCATGCCTCAGCCTCCCAAGTAGCTGGGATTACAGGCGTCTGCCACCACACCCGGCTCATTTTGGATTATTAGTAGAGAGACGGTTTCACCATGTTTGAGACCAGACTGGTCTCGAACTCCTGGCCTCAGGTGATCTGCCTGCCCCTCGGTCTCCCAAAGTGCTGGGATTATAGGTGTGAGCCACCATGCCTGGCCGAACATACGGCTTCTTACAAATGTTCCAGTCTGTTTCCTCTTGAACCTCAGCCATTACCTTAGAAGTGTCCTCCAGTTTCCCAGAATGAGGGCAAAGAGCACGCCATCCTCCAGCCTCAAAATGGATTAAAAGGCTAGAACCCAAAGAGGAGAACACTGTGTGAGCCTTTGATTCTTTAATCGTAACTGAGATAGTCCTAGAGGTGAGACTACAGTAAACACAGTTACTGGGTAAGGCAGGGTTCTAAACCCAACCTCCCTCGATTTCTGGGGGTCCCCTGGTTGGGCTTCAAAGTGTAGTACAAATGTCAGTCTGTGACTTTCATCAAAGGAATCCATGACCCAGAATAGATGAAGCCAACGAAGGAATGAATTTTTGCCAAGAGCGCAGTGAGGATCTAGATGGTGGCTTATAAACAACAGAAATGTAGAACTCACAGTTCTGAGGCTGGAAGCCCAAGATCAAGGTGCCAGCAGATTTGGTGTCTGGTGAGGGCCTGCTTCTGGTTCAGAAACGACACCTTCTCACCGTGACTTCACCTGGTGAAAGGAGGTGGCCAGGAGCAGTGGCTCTTGCCTGTAATCCCAACACTTTGGTATGAGGATAGCTTGAGGCCAGGCGTTCAAGACCAGCCTGGACAACACAGCAAGACCCCATCTTTAAAAAAAAAAAATTAATTGGGCACGATGGTGCACACCTATAGTCTCAGCTACTCAAAAGGGTGAGGCTGGAGGATCTCTAGAGCCTAGGAGGTGGAGGCTGCAGTGAACTATGGTGGAACCATTGCATTTTAGCCTGGGCAACAGAACAAGACCTTGTATCTAAAAAAAAAAAAGAAAAAAAAAAGATGTCAGGCCGGGTGCTGTGGCTCATGCCTGTAATTCCAGCACTTTGAGAGACCGAGGCAGGTGAATCACTTGAAGTCAGGAGTTCGAGACCAGCCTGGCCAACATGGTGAAACCCCATTTCTATTTAAAATACAAAAACTTGGCTGGGCGCAGTGGCTCATGCCTGTAATCCCAGCACTTTGGGAGGCCGCGGCGGGTGGATCACGAGGTCAGGAGTTCAAGACCAGCCTGACCCAAGATGGTGAAACCCCGACTCTACTAAAACTTCAAAAATTAGCCTGGCATAGTGGCGGGTGCCTGTAATCCCAGCTACTCGGGAGGCTGAGGCAGGAGAATTGCTTGAACCTGGGCGGCAGAGGTTCCAGTGAGCCAGGATCGCACCACTGCACTCCAGAAAGTTTGAGACTCTGTCTCAAACAAAACAAAACAAAACAAACAAAAAAAATTAGCCGGGTGAGGTGGTGGGTACCTGTAAGCTACTCCAGTGCCTCCCAGCTACTCTGGAGGCTGAGGCAGGAGGATCGCTTGAACCCGGGAGACGGAGGTTGCAGTGAGCCGAGATCACACCACTGCACTCCAGCCTGGGCAACAGAGACTCCATCTCAAAAAAAAAAAAAAAAAAGATGTGAAAGGAGGTAAAGAAGCTCCCTCAGGCCTGTTTTATAAGGGTGCTACTCCCATTTATTACGCCCCCGCCTTCGTGATCTGATCACTTTCCAAAGGCCCCACCTCCTAACACCATCACCTCGGGGGTCAGGTTTCAACGTAGGAATTTTGCGGGACACAAGCGTTCAGACCATAGCACGGGCTCCAGAGGGGCTGAGGCAGGTCAGGTGCTTTAGAAGTCAAAAACTCTCACTAAGGCAAATCACCCCCTGCCTCCTGGCCTTCCCTGAATCTTGCCTGCCTTCACTTTCCTTTCTCTGGTTTTCCTACAAGGTCTGAAAACTCCAAATGGCTGTGAGCTGGTGGTGGGGGGAGAGCCCCAGTGCTGGGCAGAAGGGCGCTGCCTTCTGTTTGATGACTCTTTCCTGCACGCTGCATTCCACGAAGGTGAGTGGCTGCCTTTCCCGCTTCCTTATTGTTTTTCAATGAATAGACTTTATTTTTTAGAGAAGTTTTATGTTTCCAGAAAAATCAGGCAGAAAGTACCAAGGAGGCCCCTTCGTATCACCCCATAACACATACACACACACAGTATTGACGCGTTGTTATTACCTAAAGTTCATCGTTGACGTTAAGGTTCACTCTTGGTGTTGTCCATTCATTCTGTGGGTTTTGACAAATGGATGATGACATGGACCTACCCTGACAGTATCATACAGAAGAGTTTCACTGCCCTAAAAATTCCCACGTAACGATCCCTCCAGCTCCCCATTTCCTTTTGTCCACCCTGCTCAGAAGCCCATGAAGCCAGGTTTATGTTCTCAGTGAGAGAGGAGGTGATCCGATCCGAGCCGAGGGACAGGATGGGTCCCTGCCCCAAAGCTGAGCACGTAGGGTCCAGCCCTGCCTGGACCCTGGGTCCTGGCTCCAGGGTAGTTTGAACCTCTCTTCTCACCCCTCCTTCCCCCCCAGGTTCAGCAGAGGATGGCCCTCGGGTGGTTTTCATGGTGGATTTGTGGCATCCAAATGTCGCAGCGGCCGAACGGCAGGCCCTTGATTTCATCTTTGCTCCGGGACGATGAGAGCATTTCCCGTGCTGGAGTCGGCAAGAGGGGCCGAGGCGGGGTCTGGACAGACTGTGGTCCGGTCCAGTCCCTACCGGTGTGATGATTCCATGCTCAGAAACCTGCCTCAGCGGAAAGCTCTTCTTTGGGATTTTATATCATGTCAGGTCCCTCTTTCCTTTGGTTATTGTAAATGGAAACTTTTCAGCTTGTATTTCCTTAGATTTTTTTTTTTCTCCCTTCCAATCATTTGCTTCGGAGATTCCTTTCCGGCCTAACAGCGCATTCCTTTGATTCTGTGACCAGAGATTTAGAGCCCTTGTAAGTCAGTCTTCTGTTGCTACTTGTTTTTTTCAGTGCTCTGAAATAGAGTAACTAAATGGTTATTTGTCTGAATGTAATAATGTAAAAACTTCTTGTGGTCATCTTAAAAAAAACAAAAAAACAAAAAAACTAAACTAAAAACTGCAAACCAGAGAGCTGGAGAACTTGGCCTCTGATGCTGGCACACAGGGGACCCTTCAGCCGCCCGAGGGCAGAGGGACAGTCTGCAGCTCCCGCACCTGACTGGCTTCATAGCTGGGTGGAGAGGCTGCCAGACACGGTCAGGATGGTGCACAGCTTCCAGCCCAGGGATGCTGTCACCATCGCTCACCTCACCCTAAACCTTGTCAGGTCCCTGATGGCAAAAGCATTGGGCCGGCAGGACTAGAGGCTACTCTTTAAACACGGCTTTCCTGCAAAGCTGAAGCTGGTGTCCCCCAGCGCCAAGCTTCGGCTCACACAGATCAGCCACGGAACGTGTGATCCACTTACCTCACTGCCTACAGAAGCCCTACTGCCAAACTGGGCCTGGAAAATTCCCAGTTTTAGCTGTTTTGAGTCCATGATGATGAACGTTAAGGCCACCAGGTTGGCTGATAGGAGCTGTAGGGGGATAAGACCTCACTCACCCAGCGACATTCGGGGAAAGCCTTTCTCTGGCAAAACTAGAATAATAGATCTGGCCAAAGTTTCTGTTTTGCTTTGGAGTTCTGTTGCCTATGGTTTTTGGTTTTTTTTTTTTTCTTTTATTTGTCTGTACATAAATGTTCAAACACTAGACTCGGAGATAGTGGAAGAGTTGGCCTTGTATCTTTGTCACAGCACAAAGGTGTGCACTGCGTGATGATGGCCCAAGCCAGTGTGTGCTAGTGAGGAGACAGAGACGACCTACACGCCCAGAGGACCCGTGGCCATTGTGCTGGTTTTCTGGTCTCCTGTGAAGAACATGTGGATCTCTTCCTGAAAGAAAAGGTCCCAGGAGACCAGTTTGAAGCACTCAGTCTAGAAATAGCCTGTGTTAGCTGATGTGTGAAAGCATAGCCAGCCAGCCACACTAGAGATGCCTTTTCTGAATAATATAGTATGAGCAGTGTCAGATTTATAAAGCCGAGGAGTGATTTGGAATATACAGCTGGTCGCAGGTGCAGGTCCAGTGTTTAGACCCGAATGGAAAACAACAGCTTCTAAGAGGTACAACCATCCAAAGAAAACACAATTAAAATGCACCAGGCAGGTACTAGCAAGTGTGCAAAGAGCACATGTCTACATTTGAGTAAAATGTCTACACAGATATTTGTCAGGGACGAGAATGCAGGAAAAGGCAGACATTTCAAACACACCTGAAGTTTTTTTACTCATTAAGTATCTTGTTAAAGAATCACTAAGGTGCATGATTTATACACATCCTGACTACTCTGCTCTGCGTTTACAAAACCAACAGCCCGCGCAGGTACCTAGCTACCTGCATTCATGTGACGTGGTTGAGGAACAGAAGATAAATAAAGGATCTTGCTGAAAACCAGAGTGAAGTGATGAGGTCATCTGTTGTAAAGAAAGACTTAGGCCAGGCTCGGTGGCTCACGCCTGTAATCCTAGCACTTTGGGAAGCTGAGCGGGGAGGATCGCTTGAGCCGAGGAGTTTGAGACCAGCCTGAGTAACATAGTGAGGCACTGTCTCTACCAAACAAAGAAGCTAGCTGAGTGTGGTGGTGCACACCTGTAGTCCAAGCTACTTGAGAGGCTGAGGTGGGAGGATCACTTGAACCTGGGAGGCGGGGGCTGCAGTGAGCCTAGATTGCGCCAGTGCACTCCAGCCAACATGACAGAACAAGACACTGTCCAAAAAAACAAAAAACAAAAAAACAAAGACTTGCCAGGCAGAAGAGGGCAAGTGACTTTGAGGCTCTTGTGTTTTGAGTCATGTCACAGAGACAGGTGGGTCAATAGAACTGATCGTGGATAGTGAATGAAGCAAAATGTCCCAAAGTAATGGGACTAGCGGGGTGGGGACAACAAGAGCACATCTAGGGTATGTTAATGAGCAATAGATGTCAAAGAACGAGGACTCTGGCTTCCGAGAAGCTGAGGATCTAGGACTCCGTGCCAGGAGTTTGTACCCTCGGGATCTTGAGCAAGTCCCTCAGCCTCTCGCAGCCTCAGTTTCTCCTCTGTGGCTATGTGCAGTACCTGGCATATAAAGGGCACCCAACAACACTGTTTCCCTTTCTGCCACAGCGGAGTAGAGAAACAGGTGAAGAGGAAGGTGGCCAGACGGAAGAGATGGGAAAATACATCGGGACAGCAGTGGGTGTGGCCAGAGAAGCCAGTGGCTACTTTGAATTGCCTGTGTCTAATCACAGGGGAAGAAACATGGCCCTCAGTAGCTACGTTTTTCATGTTTTTCCCTTTAGAAGAGAGGGAGACAGGGGGTCTCCCAGCCAGGAGCCCTAGAAGCAGCCGGGCTGTCGCGTGTTTTCGCCTGCAAGCGGGGTTCCAGCCAGCAGTCCTGGCCGGGCTGCCACAGCGAGCGGAAGGGAAGAGCGCCACTCGCCTGGGATTGCGATGTTTCTCACCCTCCCCAAGTGTGCATTGCCAACTAGGCAATTGCTAAACTAATTTACATCTTGTAGCTCTGGAGGCTCAAGGTGAGAAAGGGTAGCCAGCTGGTTGCAAACGGGAAATCCTGACTTCCACCCGAGACAGCCTGGATTGGCCTCAAGCTCCCTCTGTTCCCGTGTACTCGAGGCCAGACCAATTACTATTTGTACAAGGTCACACCCCGGGTCTTCTGATCCCAAACCATTTCTCCCAGGCACTTGCTCATCAGCCCCTAGAGTCACCCAGATTGTCTAGGTTCTGTCCTTGGTGACAGCGACTGAACTTCTAACATTGAGTGCTCTGTAGCATACTGTAGGGGAGAGGAGTGATCCTGGTGTGCTGGTCCTTGACTGTGGCTGCACGATGCAGTCACCTGGGAACTTGTGGGAAACCCCAAAGTCCACACCCCACTCCCAAAGCATCTTTTTTCATTGTTTTGAGAGTGGGGTCCAGGCATGGGTCTTTGTTTTAAACTCACTTCTGGTTATGATTATAACGTGTAGTTCGGGCTGAGGGTCGCTGCTGTGAGTAGCGAGAAGGGTAAGGCCTTTGAAACCACGCAGACTGGAGGTTAAAGTCTGAGCTATGCCCCTGTGTAACACCGGGCAGGCCACCTAACCTTGGTCTCTAGAGGACAGCCACTGTTTTTTGTTGTCTGTTTTTGTGCTTTTGAGACAGAGTCTCACTCTGTTGCCCAGGCTGGAGTGCAGTGGCACAATCTCGGCTCACTGCAACCTCCACCTTCTGGTGATTCTCCTGCCTCAGCCTTGCGACTAGCTGGACTTACAGGTGCCTGCTTCCATGCCTGGCTAATTTTTGTATTTTTAGTAGAGACAGAGTTTTACCATGTTGGCCAGGCTGATCTTGAACTCCTGACCTCAAGTGGTCAGCCCACCTCTGCCCCACAAAGTGCTGGGACTGCAGGCGTGAGCCACCATGCCTGGCCGGCAGCCACTGCTTTTAACCCTGTCCTGCCAACAGTATGAGCCTCTTGCAAGACCATAACATCCCCAGGCTTAGTCCTTGGGTCTCCAGAGCTGGGCCCACGATCCAGATCCGACCAATCAGTCTTCCAAACTCTGCGCTACTGAGAGATTGGGTCAGGGCTGGGCACGTGATCCAAGTTCTTTTTCTGGGACCACTGCGAAAGAAAGGCCACTTTTTATTGGGTGGGTGGGGTGAAGGGAAAGAAGCCGAGAGAGAAACCCACAGAGGCAAGCGGGGCCTGCGCTGTGGAGATCACGTGAGTCCTCAACACAGCTCTGCCGGAAACCAGCTCTACCTCTGGACTTTTCTGTTACATGAGCCAATAAACGTGCTTTTTATTCGTAAGCCAAGTTTGAGTTGTGGTTTCTATCCCTTGCCACCAAAAGTCCTAATCCACTCTGTGAGTGTCAAGTGAGGTTTTGGTCAGATGCTATTATGTCGTGGTCTGGGTGGATGGGAGAGGTACTCCATATACATTGTCAGGATATAAATATGAGTAGCAGAGGCTAAGCACAAGATGAGGTGTTTTTGTTTTTTTTTTTTTGAGACGGAGTCTCGCTCTGTCGCCCAGGCTGGAGTGCAGTGGTGCAATCTCAGTTCACTGCAAGCTCCGCCTCCCGAGTTCTCGCCATTCTCCTGCCTCAGCCTCCCTGAGTAGCTGGGACTACAGGCGCCCGCCACCACGCCCGGCTAATTTTTTGTATTTTTAGTAGAGACGGGGTTTCACCGTGTTAGCCAGGATGGTCTTGATCTCCTGACCTTGTGATCCGCCTGCCTTGGCCTCCCAAAGTGCTGGGATTACAGGCGTGAGCCACCGTGCCCGGCAAAATGAGGTTTTTAAGGACCATCATGCCTGCTGCCAGCAACCTTCCGTAACATTTAACTCCCCAGCCGAGTCTTGCTAACCAGATGTAAACACAGGGAACAGGACAGAATCAGGCCACATATTTTAGAACTGCTGACAGATGGCAGGGAAAATACTCAAGCAGATTGCAGCTTTAGGAGGCAGGAGGCAGCACACACGGGGATTGGTTTACTTTCCGCCTCTTTCCCAGGCACACACATTGCTTCTCACTTCTGGGTACCTGCCCTTCCCCATCTCTCCCCGCTTCCCACACATTAGCCACCCCCAAGTTCAAGGTGAGGGCACCTGCTTCTTTGAGCATGGAGAGTACTGTGCACCCTACGAGATTCCTTCCCCTATCTTATCCTTGTCAACTGCACATTTAATACATGAGAAAACAGGCTCAGAGCGGGCAGTTGACATGAACAAGGTCACGCGGCCAGCTGGAGGGTGAGCGGGAATTGGAAGCCGAGTATCCAGGCTCACAGCACAGCGCATCTTCTGCAGTCTGGACACACGTCCAGGCCTCAGCATGCAGAAGGACCACACCTCTGACCCCCAGGTCCTTCTCCCTGTCCTGGGAGGCCACGTGCCTTCTCAGAACACCCAACAGGGCCCTCCATTTGCTGAGGGCCCATGATAGGCCAAGTCCTTACATACATTTCCTTTTCCTGTCTGTTTTAAAGAAGAGGACACTGAGGCTCAGAGACAGAAAAGCAACTTGCCCTGATCTCCAGCAATAAGTTGCAGAGCTGCAATTTGAACCCAGCTGTCTGACACCAAAGCCCATGTGCTCCTGCCACAGCCACAGGAGCCGGCCCAGCCTGGGTGGGGAGGAAGGATGAACAAGGTGCCTTTTAGCAGCACACTCGGCAGAGGACTTGTCTCCCTCTCCTCCCCATGGGTTCGGTGGCCAGGGCCCCAAGGCCTTTCCTTGGGGTGCTTGGCCCAGCCAATAGCGAGGCAGGGCAGGGGAGAAGGGTTCCAACTCTCGGCTTGGACCTCAGCATATACAGGCAATCATAAAACACCTCCCAGCTCTTGACAGGATTCCAAAGCACTCTCTGGGTTTTATTCTCAGGGGAAGTACAGCTAATTTCAGGTTTGGACATTTAAATCCTGGATCAACAGAAAAGGTGTCCTATTTTCACCTTGAAGCCCTTAGAATCTTCACTGTAAGCCTCCCAAACTCAACAAATATGTTGAAGAAAGAAAGATCTAGAGTAGGTTTTATTTCTAAGCTAGGATGCCAAGCGTGGGTCTGACACCTGCCCTCCCCCGTCTCCTCACAGAGAGCCGGGTGGCAGTCAGAATCAAGAAGCAAAGCAGGGGACAAATGCTTTCCCACACCCACTGCCCTTTTCCCCAGGAGCAGCGGTGGATTCAGGGGTTGGGACAGGCTTGTGTGTGTCGGGAACACAGGCTGAGTATTAGTGTGGGTTTCCTGCCACTCCCTCCGCCAGCTCCTTCAGGGCAGGAATCTATCTCCTTGGCTGCCTTCTCCACTGGGGCTGTCCCTCCCTGCCCCAAACCTAATCTGTGCCCATGTGTGTCTGCCCATTATCTGGCCTCCTCTCTGCTTCAGCCATTCCCCTTCCCAGCTGAACGACCACAGCCTCCTGGTGGTCTCCACTCTTGCCCAGTTTATCCCCTACTCAGGAGCTAGTGACCTTCCTCACAAGAATCAGCTCAAGTCAGTCCCCTGCATTTTTCTTCCTTTTCTTTGGGGGGGGAGTCAGAGCCTCACTGTCGCCCAGGCTGGAGTGCAATGAATCTCAGCTCGGCTCACTGCAACCTCCACCTCCTAGGTTCAAGCGATTCTCCTGCTTCAGCCTCCCGAGTAGCTGGGATTACAGGCACGCGCCACCACACCTGGCTAATTTTTGTATTTTTAGTAGAGAGGGGATTCCGTCATGTTGGCCAGGCTGGTCTTGAACTCCTGAGTTCAAGTGATCCACCCGCTCTGGCCTCCCAAAATGCTGGAATTATACAGGCGTGACACCGCGCCCGTCCCACTCCCCTGCTTAAAGGCTTCCCTGTGCCCCGCACCACGGCAACCTCGTGTGGGGCCCCAGCTCTTCTCATGCCCTAACCA